GCAGATGATGTATCAGAAGCCTTAAAAACTTCAAGGGAAGCAAAGGCAATTATGCGTGGAGCTGGGATGAATTTACGCAAATGGGTGACGAATGATAATCATTTAGCTAAAAAATGGAAAGAAGAAAATTTTGACATTCATCCGCTAAGCTCAAATGAAAAGATACTGAAGGTATTAGGAATTCAATGGAACATTCAGAAAGATAGTTTGGGTATAGAGATTTCTTGTTTGACGGAAATTTCAAGGAGAAAGAAAAGTACCAAATGCTTCATCCTCCAAACAGCTGGAAAAATATATGATCCTCTTGGACTCATCACACCCTTCACTGTTAGAATAAAACTTTTACTACAAAAGCTATGGTTACGTAAATTACCATGGGATGAAGAGCTTCCTTCTGATTTGAACGACGAGTGGTCTCAATGGTGTAGCAAGCTTTCAGAACTTAGTAACATTAGTGTTCCAAGATTTGTTTTGGATTCTTGTGATCAAAATATAGAGATCCATGTTTTTTCTGACGCAAGTCAAAAGTTGTATGGTGCAGCCGTTTACGTAAAGGTACAGAATCAAGAAAAAATTTCTGTGAATTTGCTGGCTTCCAAGAGCAGAGTTTCACCTGTCAAAAAAGTTTCCTTGCCTAGACTTGAATTGATGGGTGCACTGATTGCTGCAAGATTGGGAACGGAAGTTTAAAAAGTTCTAGATCGTAAAGGTTCATCTAGTATCTTTTTTTTGGAGTGATTCTAAAGTCAAACTGTATTGGATCAAAGGATCAAGCAGAAGATGGAAGTCTTTCATTCAAAATCGCGTTGACGAGATTCAGAAGTTGACTAATCCAGATTCATGGTTTTATTGTTCAACCAAGGACAATCCAGCCGATCTTCTAACACGAGGAGTTAGTGCCTCTTCTCTAGAGAACAATTCTAAGTGGTGGACTTGTGCATAATTTTTTACAGAGACGCATCTTCCCTACAAGTGCTTACAACCAATAGTTCCAGAGGTTGAGAACCTAACACCAAGTGAATGGGAATCCTTTGTGCAAGAAAGCAAAAGTTCTAGTGACATTAATGACATTTCTGAGAGAACTATGTTGATTGACATGAACTCTAACGTTTTAGACGAACTCTTGAATATTAGTAGCAATTATTATAAAAATTATTAATGTTCTTTCTTATATTAGGTTTATTTGTAATTGCAGGAAAGGTGGATCAAGAAAGGTAGGCCCTCTTCAACTAGAGGAGTAAGAATAGCTGAGGAAATGCTTATTAAGCATGAGCAGAGGGTCCTATTTTGTAAAAAGGACATAGCAGGTAACTTAAAAATTTACATCCCTTTGTTGATCATAAAGGAATAATTCGTATTGGTGACCATCTTGAAAAAGCTTCTTTACCATTTTCTCAGAAATATCCTACAATCCTACCAAAAAATTATAAGCTAAGTAAGATTTATTTTTCTAGTGTCCACAGAAGATTATTACATGTTCGCCCCCAAGGATTATTGAATGCAGTACGTTTAAAATTTTGGCCATTAGGGTGGTAGAGATTTGGCGTGAAAAACAGTGCATCTTTGTGTGACATGCTTTAAATGCAAACCGATTTTGTCTTCACAGATTATGGGCAATTTACCATATGAGAGAGTTAATAGATCGCCCCCATTTAGTGTTTCGGATTGGGATCTATGCGGTCCCTTTTATGTGACTTACAAGCATCAGAGAAAGGGCGTGCTAAATAAAATTTACATTTTGTGTATGTATATGTTTTGTGACACAAGCTATTCATCTTGAGCCTTTGTCAGATTTAACTTCTAGTGCTTTAATTGCCACTCTTAAGTGTTTCATGGCAAGACGTGGCAAATGTGCGAAAATATTCACTGATAATGCCCCTAATTTTGTAGGAGCAAATTCTCTGTTGAAGAAATTTTACAATGTAATTAATTTTCCTGATAAAACTTTGGCCTCATATTTCACGTCCGAAAGAATAGACTGGAATTTTATACCTCCCTATAAAGTATAATTTTATACCTCCCTATAAAGTACCCTCCCTATATATAAGTCCCCTCATTTCGGAAGGCTATGGGAAGCCGGTGTAAAATCCGTAAAGTATCACTTAAAGAGAACGATAGGAAATTTGCGTTTTACATATGAGGAGTTTGAAACTATAATTGTGCAGGTAGAGGGAATACTGAATTCGAGACCTCTTACACCTATTTCCAATAATTCTGATTGTTATGACGTTTTGACCCCAGGTCATTTCTTAATAGGGAGATCGATACAGGCGATTCCGGAGCCAATGATAATAGACATAAATGAAAATCGGTTAAGCCGATGGCAGAGAACAACAAAAGTAGTTCAGATTATTTGGAAAAAATGGTCAAATGACTATTTAGGAACTCTGCACCAGAGAACCAAATGGATGGTAGAGAAGGACAATATTTCTGTTGGTACAATGGTACTCGTCAAGGAGGATTATCTGCCAATTTGCAAATGGATATTAGGTCGGGTTATTAAAGTCTATCATGGATGTGACAATAAAGTAAGAACAGTTAAAATCAAAACAAAATCAGGAGAATTGAAAAGAGCGATAACAAAGATCACCGTTCTTCCGATAGAGAACTGAAATGATATTTTTGCATATGTATTGTATTGTTATAGTATTGTAATAGCTGTAGTTATAGTAATAGTATATTATGTTGTTTATAAGTATATTAACTTTGCTTAAGAATGTTTGTATAACTTCTTGAAATTACAAAATTTCAATCCAGAGGAGTGTTACATCCCTCTGAAGCCAGATGGCGCTGCCATCGCTACTGTTTACAAAAAGAGTGTTAATTACTTTAGGGTTGGCTTCAATGGCGAAGCAGAGAGTGATTGTGGGAGCCTGAGCGTCTTCCAAAAATTAATATAATGAAGATATGTTAGAGAGTAGTTTTTAAATTAGTTTAATTAAGAGTTACAGTCCATTTAGAATTCGCCGGACCAAGTGTGTTTCGATACTTCATCAAGTGTCATCGTTTTTCACTCCAAATCTACGAACCCCGTACGAACGTGAAGGAAGAAAATAACGTAACAACTGGTGTCAGGAAGAGAAAAACGTAACACTATATTATGATATACTAGGTACATGATGGAGAAGGAAGAAAATCTATTAAATAAAGCAATTTTTTTTAATTTGTCAGATGTCCAATTTTGGGGCTAACGGGCCCACAATAGACTGAAACAATTTCTGTTTTCAGTAACAGCACAGTCATTCTTGACTGATCTCTTACTATTAAAACACAACCATGGCAAAGGTTCATCGCACTGTGCATTATGATTTTTGCCAACAGCCATTTTCTAAATAACCAGGACAGTATTGCACTAAAAAAACATAAGTTATTTCAGAGATTCTGGAACGGTCTTCTTGCACCCATGAACATGTTGTTTCAAAGCCACTCAAGTCTTATCTAATTTTAACCCTAACCACAATGATTTTCTTCACCAGAAGTGAGTATCTTATATAAGCAGTTCCCGTTTGATGTTTAACTGACAGATTGTCCTTATTAAAGTTACGAGTGGCTCTAATACATTGACCACTCAGGCCACATTTAGAATATTTTGGCAATATTTTTGGTAATTACAATAGTTTGGCCACATTTAGAATTCACCTGTAATGCTACTAAAATGTGAAATTAAGAATTTAAAAACCTAGAAATCAAACTTCTCAGACAAAATATTACTAGAATAAATTATAGTTTAACTGAAATACATTATAAATATACTTCTCTGAAGAAAGAACTACAACCAATTTCTTTATAAAATAAAACATTTTCTAAACAATTTCAAACTTTTCCTTGTTTCTTATAATTTATTTAAATGCAAATCACAACTCAACTGCTCTTTTTTTTTTTGTTGTTGTTGTTGTTGTTGTTTGGTGTGTGTGTATGTGTGCATGTGATGTATTATTAAGCATTTTCAGTTTCTTGCAGATTAATTTTTGATAGCTTTCTGGGTTTTTCTACTCATTTTCTTGAGAGAATAATATAATTAATATAACATTGTTTGTAAGTAACGAAATGCACACTTTTAAACTAAATTACAACAATCAAACAAGAATATAAGTAAAAATAGCCTGTAATATTATACTGATTAGTTTACTCTTTTTATATTTTGTGGATATATATATATGTACGAAAAATAAAGAATACATAAAACATTAAATTAGCAACGTAAATTAATTTCCCTTCTCTATTTTAAAAATAGCTATATCTATTTGCACTGTGTCATTTCGAGAAAAATCTATGTCATATGACTCTTACGTTTTTTCTGGTGATGTAAATTGAACTAAAACTCAAGCAGCCAATAATAATTTTACAGCAATATTAACTATCCAATCAAAATGCTTTGAGAACCAAAACTAACTTGAGATTTCATCCTGAACATAAACACACTTGCTTTCCAAGGTTTGGCCTACCTAGACTGCTGTCTGTCTGCTGCTGTTTTCTTGCTACAAAGTTATCAAAAATGTAAGCCTTTTGGAACAGGCACATTTAATGTGCCGACGTGTGTGTAGCCGCAACATATTGCTGAAAATAAAATTGAAGATTTAATCTGCCTTTCCAATTTCCTAGTCATTATGGATCAACACTTCTACGCCATCAAAATTCCTCCTCCTGCTCTTCAGTTACTTCTGACTTTGTTTTTATTACATATATATATATACATACATACAAATAATAATGACTAAAAATATGTCAATATAATGGCACAAAGAAGAAGAAATAAAGAGATTGAAAAACTTACAAGAGGTTTAAATGGAATTAAAGTAACAGTAAAAATAATTCTCCTCCTCAGAAATAACTCAAAATGATACTAAGTATTGAAAGGCTGATATAATAAAGAAATAACAGAAATGGTACAATAAAAATAGAAATTTACTGTACATGCTAGAAAGATAAATTATCAGTTGTTAAAATTTAAAATGAATAGATAATGTATATAAATGAATAGGTAATTAATGAAATCAAACCTTTTCCATTAGATGTCATATGATGTTCAAAAATCATTTTTGCCATTAATGCAGGGCTAAAATCAATTTCATCAGCAAGTTTCAAAAGAAATCCACATTCTTTTCGGTTTTTGATGGTTTGTTCCAAATACCTACAGGTAATTTTTTAAAGTAAAGTAATTGAATAAAATTTTTAGAATGCGATCTGATAGAAAAGTTGCAATTATATTAGTAGGTATAAAAATATCTTACCAATGATAATACTGCTCTATATTGGATCGAATAACATGAAATTTAGCTTTAGTTTTCCTCTGAAATAAAAAAAATACAATAAATATTGCTGCTTTAAAATCATTCAACTAAACATTGGGAGAATTTATACACTGATGAGCCAAAACATTATGACCATTCCTATATTTTTCAATGAACTCGTTTTGATGACATGGAGAGCACATGATTAAGTAGAAATGGTATTTAACTGCCGCTGGAGAAGGTAAAGAATCATTCTTGCATTTCCGAGTGATGGGAAAGGCTGCTGATCTAAGTGAATTTGATAGTGGGCAGATTGTAACAGTGTGAAGACTCAAAATGAGTATCTATGAAACTGCACGACTGGTAGGTTGTTCGAGATCTGCTTTACAGTTATACAATCAATTATCAGTATTTATGCAAAGTAGATAAATGACAGTGATACTAGCAGTAGTACCAAGGTCCTTTGATAGACGTCATTTTCTTTGATGGATGTCCACGTGTCATCAAAGAAAAAGGACGTTGGAGACTGTCTGACTTGGTGCAGCAGAATTGGTGCCACACACTAGCTCAGTTGACAGCCGACACACAATTTAAGTGTTTCAGAGCACACAGCAGACACTGTTGGAGTGTCTGCTGCGCATACTTGCCAACCTATAATACTTAAAAATCAGGAGATTTTTCTCAATAGCAAAGATTTTTTAAATGGTAAAAATATATTATGAAATAATGAATTAACTTTACATAGTTACTAATTAATATCTAAAAGATCAGTCACTACTTCTTAATTGCAAACAGTACAAAAATACTTACATGTGATATATATATATAATTTGCGCCTTTTAACAAAAAAAAAAAAACTTTAATCAGTTTTTGTACAAATGTTATTAACAATGGCAGATTTTGCTTTCATTAAGAAACTTTATATTTTTGTATATAGCAACTGCCACGCAGGCCTTCTTTTGCTAAAAAAAGTTTTTCTAATGTGACATTACTAATATTAGATCTAAATTTAGTCCTTGCTTTTGCAACAACACTGGAAATCCTCTTGTATCCGCATTAATATGGGGAATTGTTAGGATGGCCAATGTTAAGGCCCCTTTCCACTATTGCGTATGCGGTGTGTTTCTCCAATCAGTAAGCGAATTTACTTTGACTGACATCTGCAATCCGGTCGATGTGCAATGACAGATGAAGTTCAACTTCTATCTGTATGCCTGCGGAAGCGTTGGGGTCACATGGTAAAAAAGGAGCAATCAGGTGTTGTCACCAAAAACTAATGGCGGCAGAAGTAGCGATGAACGCTGGATCAGAGAAAAAATGTTTTGCTAAAAAATACTTATTTCTGAAGTAAAACTATAGTGAGAAATCTGCATATGAAAAAGACAGCAATCAAATGAATTTAGTTTAAAAAAAAAGGAAAGAAAAATAAGATAACTGCAACTACAGCACTAGTTCGCAGAGAGAAGTGATTACTTTCAAGAAAATCAAGTACAAAAAGTATAATTCCAAGTCCATGAAACAGCAAAATTTGTCCTGACAATTATTTTCCAATTTCACATATACATTTACTTTTAATGAAAATGAACGTTTAGCTGTATCAAACTGCTATAGCAAACCAGATAAGGCATTAAACACTTTTTTTTCTTTTGAAACTGGTAAAAACTAAAAACATTATTTATAAATTAAATTTGATAGCCTTTTAAATATTCTGCTGCATTAAAAAGTATGTTAAAATTGTATTTCTCTATAAATTTACCTTTTTCGCTAACATATATTTGTAAACACATCTTTCATTTGGAATATATTTTTAGCAGTCCGTCTGACTTCAATCGGAACACTAATTTAAATTATATTTTTGTAAGAAACACTCTAGAAGCTGAAGAACAAACTCTGGTAAATTTTTTAGATGATAGCACACAGAAATAAAACCAAAAAATTTAGTTTTAAGAATTCATTTACTTGATAAAGGAAATAAGCAAAAATTGCTAATCACGTTCGTGTCATGGTAGCTTAGTGGCAAAACTAACGGGAGTGGGGTTTGCACTTTTGGAGTTGTGAGTTCAAATCCCGTACTCTTTTTTCCATCCTGTCTGCAACTTTCTTAGCTCCGTGTTCCAATTTAATCTATATTGTGTTTTAAAATTTATTTTTATTATTATGTGCATTAAATATAATGTTTTATTTATGCTCTTATTTATTTAAATTTTTCCTGCAAGAATTTGTTTTAAAAGTTATAATACGAATTTAAAGACTTTGGGATGTTTCCAGCTCCAAACTTTCACTACCAATTAACATGAGACAGTATTAACGCCAAAAACATTTTTTAATTAGTATAATAATTGCTTTAAATTTAATTCAATCCTATCCAGCTGAAGTGCAGGAATTCATTTAATATTTCCATTTTTTTTATATTATGTGTGTATATATATACACACACGTATAAGTTAAAGCTATAATAAACACATATAAGTTTTATATATATTATATATATATATATAAAAGCTTCATATAAGTTAATATATAAAAAGCTTCATATAAGTTAAAGCTATCAATTACATTCTTTTCTTCTTTTTAATTTTAAATAACTGTTCAATTTACAGAACTAGTTTACAATGAGAGGGGGGGAACTATGCAGAACTAAATTATATAACAAGATTTAATGATGAGATTTCAGGTCAAAATAGAGAAAATAAATAATAAGCCATATTTATTATATTCACTTGGCTATTTTGCTAAAAATAAATACAATTTATTTTTCCACTCATATTAATATTTAAATAATTTAAAAACTACTAAAAAATAAACTCAGTGGTGTAACAGCCCTAATGGGCCAAGGCCTGCAGTGTCCGAAATCTGCTTTCTTGACTGTGGGCCCCGGGGTGCTTAAGTATATGCCCTGAACAAGTGGTCAGCTTAGTCACAGAACCCCCAGTGTTTAGTCCCCAAGCGAACTTGGTACTCATTTTATCGACCCCAGTGATGGAAATCAAGGGATGAAAGGCTGAGTTTGACCGTGCCCAGCCCAGGAATCGAACCCCGGACCTGTGGTGCTGCTGCGTGATGCGCTAGCCCGCCACTGGGCCTTGATTTAAATAATTTAACTTAAATCAAAATTCTGAACATTTTCTAAATTTTCATTGTATAACAGTTTCCCCTTAACAGATATTGCAAACAAAGTAATTTAAGTAAAAAAAGGAACTTTTCTGAAATCAGAAGACGGGAAATTGCTTCATGCAGTCATCCTTTAACAGTAAAAGCTTAACTAACAGGCACACTCGGAAATTGCAGAATATTTGAAAATTCCGTTTAGTTGAGCATAACTGGTAAAAGTGGAAGGGGGTGTAGATTGCAACCATTCTTTAGATTTTTCAACTAAATAATGCTTTTGAGATTTCAATATGTGCATCATATAAAAAATAGCCCAAAAGTGAAAAATAATCTGCTTAGCAAGCACAGTAAAACTCTTTTATCCCTGCAAAATATTGCAAACGTTATTGCACAACACATGCACCTTAATTCTTCTGCACGTGATATTATGCAATCGGAATCAACAGCTGCCAGTATTTGAAGAATAAATAACTAAATAAAGGAAAATGCCCATTTGCTTCAGCCGGTTTTCACTGTCATGTGTCATATTTATCATTGAGCAGGACACATCACGCTCTGCGCGATATCCCTGCCATATTCATATTGATTAATAAAGAGATTTACCAATCTGTGGTGTTTTTCATTCTAATTTTGAATAGACTGCGTTAAATTTCTGAAATAGAATCATTCTTCGCTTCAGTTGGTAGACCTCAGAACTTTTAGTCCTATTTAATCCAGATTGGAAAGTGACCCCCCAAAAAAAGTCAGTTTGCTGCGAAATGTAATAGTTTCAATATTCGAGATTTTGCAGAGAAAGGGGAGAACCCCCAATTTCCGTACTGTGTAATGCATTGGAAAAAAAAAAAAAAAAAAAAAGAAGTATTCTGACTATTTGATTACTTTCACTTTTTATGCCATTCCGAATATTATTCCTTAGAAACTAATCTGTGTTAAAACAGACTTACCCATTTTTGAAGTTTATCTATACTTCAGCAGTTACTGCAAATATATTATTATAAATATTCGTACATATGCTCATAATACAGTCAAAAGTCATTAATCCGGACTCGTCGGGACTTCGGCAATTACGGATTATCGATTTTTCCGGATTATAGATCATCAGTTTAAATCTGGTAAGATGGCATACAGAAATTATAAAATTAAAAATATGAAACCGTAATTTATGAAATAAAGAACAATTATGATCTAAAGGGTATCAAAATTTACAAAAAAAAAACCTTAATATTTATTTTACTTTATTAAACATTTCTTTCAATGTAAGTTGTTCAAGTTGCTTCGTTTTTTATGTGATAATACTTTCTCTTTAATTCTATAAACAGACATAATTTCTTGTTCAGTTACAAAGTTCCGCTGTTCAAGTCCTATAATTGCTGTGTCGAGAATACTGACTAATTTGTCAATCGAAATTTTTTCGTTTTCAATAACCTCTGTGTCCCTTTCTTCGCTATTGGAAGCGAATTATAATGACGAGGAATTTGATTTAAATCATATCAAAGATGGAGTACATCGAGATGAAATACTACATTTAGTAAAGAATTATAAGCCAAATAAAATAAAAACATCTGCCCTGAAGATAAGGATAGTGCTGACAGATCAACTTCCAATTCAATGCGCGCTGTGGCGTTCCCTCCCCCCCCCCCGCCCGGCCGCAGAGCAGCGTGAAATTTATAAACTGATTTCGAAATGGTTAGATAAACAAAGGATATGCCTTGATCTATTTTTTGCAGCAATTCCACTTTTTGTTTAATGGACTTCGAAACATACTTTCGCTTTGTAGATCCTTTACATATTAGTAACTATATATCGGAAATTCTATTTGACATAATCGAAAGTTCAAGCTTACTTTTATAAAATTGCTCTAAAAGTCTGCAAAAAATAATAAGCCAGATCCATTTTGAAGATTAAGGAACAACGCAATCTGCAACATTAACTGAATTAGATAATTTTAGCT